TGTTGTCAGTATAATGTGACTGGAGGGGTGGCGGTAGGGACTGGTTGGTTTGTTGCCATTACAGTGTGACTAGGGGGTTGCCATGCTTCCGTGTAAAGGTTATGTGTTATGACACTGTAACAGAGTCCTTAAATGTCCCTTGGGATATTATATTGATAAAACTTTGGCTGTTTGAATGACGTCAAACAACAAACTAAGATGCCGAATTTGTTTATGATGATTCTAGAAATGTATATGTATAATTTGCAGGTATATATATATATACTTTTTTTGACATGGTTTTCATCCCCACACCCACCCAGTCCCCACCCCTCCCCGACTCTCTTGCAAGTCTGTTTATCTATCATATCAGTTTGTTGTAAAACATGGTCCTTACGGTCCAAAGACACTCGATCAAGTCTTCCGATTGACTGCCATTAACAAAATGGTTTACCGATATTATCTACTATGACTGCGCATGTGTCAGAAATAAAAGGATAATATTGGCAAATTGACTATGTCGAACAAAGGAAACATACAAGAGATGGTACGAGCACACATCAATGCATTTAATTTGCTAAATCACATTGTCCTTGCAAAGTCCTGCAATTTCACGTGTTGCTTGACTACATTCATCGTATATACACGCTAGAATTGGAAATAAAATACACGACGGACTTTCCTGCACCAGCCGCTTTCCTCGATCTTTTCCTACAATAAAACCAGCACGGATAAAAACACCACGATGTTTTATAGTTATAACCCAGCTTTTTTATCATACGATGTTTACATGTCGCAAATGATTCAGTATTCAAAGACTTGTACTTCACTTTTTCCTTGAAATATGTCTACAGCTAACAGACAACACGGGGTTTCGAGAGATGCAGATTGCGGAATGCTACTGGGACGTAATGTGGGCAGAACCATGATCTCACTGGAAACTGTTGTTTTTCCTTTTGTGATACGAAGTTAAGCTATCAGCCTTGTTCTCATCTGAGGTCGCGATGTACTTAATTGGATTGGTCAATATTTACAAGGCAGGTGTAGTCGATAAAGCTGAAGACGAACACTTAGCTATATTATCTCTGTATATTTTAATAATCTGTCAAAATCTTCATATGTTCATATTTTGTCCTAGTTTCGTCGAATTTGAGTGTAGATTATGATTCCATTGACGTGTTTGCTGCTATTGCCCAATTTATGCTTCAGATATTTTTTTTTATAACTTTCTTACCTTTTTATATCCACTAACTCGTGCAACAGATTACTTTCATTTAGATATAGAAAAAAACAAATCCTAACATAGTTAAAATATTTTATACTTCTCGAAAACGTAGTTAACGCTTAGCCCAACGTTAAATCCATAACTTGTAGGCGATTGTGTCACAACTGTACAACTTCCGTCTGATAACAGTGTTGTCTTGTCATCGTATTCATAAACAGAGTTGTAACAAAGCATTAAGTATCAGTGGGCGCTATCAAATCTAATTATTACATCTCTCGTCAACTACTACAAGTCTTTCGGTCCAAATTGCTTTTAATTAACGACGTAAATTACAAAAATGATATCTGTGTCGTGATAATTCACTCTGTGGGGATCAATAATTGCCAGCTCAGTGAAATAAACACTGCCGACGTAATTTCTGAATTAATTCGAATCAATTATTGCCTTTCCATAAAACGTGTTGTAAGTTGCCTGTAGCTGTCCTATCGCTGCGCCCGTCGTCATTCCTCACTATGACAGATGCTTGCTGTAACAAGACGAGGCTCATTTTGGAGAATTGATCTGATCTTCTAGTCCGAGTGCTCATCACCAAGAAGATGAATTGGAAGTAGTGTGTACTTCACGTTTATCTACACTCAATAACGAGTCCCCGGGGGACAGCCACAAAAGCTTAGTCAGCTCCAAATCATGAATTCCAGCGGCGCGTCTCTTTCAACAACTCCTTTGGTTGGAAACATCACATTAAGCAATTATAGAGGATCGTGATTTGTGTCTATGAGTATGACGTGAAGCCGGACTGACTATTAGATCACATTCCGTATATGTCCTTTGTCCGCACCATTGTGGCACCAATGTAACACTTCGTAACAGAGAACATTCGAGCTCAGAAGTGTTTTGATTGAGTTGCAGATTTCAGAAACTAGTCTGTTTTCTGACGAATGGATTGCCCGTTAGCCTCATAATCCCATTAGAACCAATCTGTGTGTTTCTGAAGTTAGTTTTAAATACTGACGTGAATTAAAGGCAATTCTTTTTTTCAATAGGAAACGGACCAGATTTAACTTAAAGACGTGAATTCTAGTCATCATTCTATAACACCATAATAGTTGAGATTGTAGTGATCGTCTTAAACCATTTAGGTAAGGGTACACTCACAGTGTCAAATAATCAAATACATAGCTCAAGTTTTTGTTCAATACTGATCCGAATAAACCAGAGGAGTCGCTTCTACAAATTCGGTCCTACAAATTCGGTCTTATAAATTCACACTAAACAGATCAACGCTAGAGTAGTCTCCATTGGTCCTACTCGTCCACACTAGACGAGTCACCACTACACGTCCACACTGGACAGGTTACCACAAGAGTAGTCACCACTGGTCCTTCTCGTCCACAATGGACAGTTTACCACTAGAGTAGTCACTCCTTGTTCTACTCATCCACACTGGGCAGCTTAGCACTAAGGTAATTAACCCTGGTCCTACTCGTCCACAGTCGATAAGTTACCACTAGTGTAGGCACCCCTGGTCCTACATGTCCACACTGGACAGTTTACCACTAGTGTAGGCACCCCTGGTCCTACTCGTCCACACTGGACAGTTTACCACTAGTGTAGGCACCCCTGGTCCTACATGTCCACACTGGACAGTTTACCACTAGTGTAAGCACCCCTGGTCCTACACGTCCACACTGGACAGTTTATCACTAGTGTAGGCACCCCTGGTCCTACATGTCCACACTGGACAGTTTACCACTAGTGTAGGCACCCCTGGTCCTACATGTCCACACTGGACAGTTTACCACTATTGTAGGCACCCCTGGTCCTATATGTCCACACTGGACAGTTTACCACTACTGTAGGCACCCCTGCTCCTACACGTCCTTACTGGACAGTTCGCTAATAATTAGGCACACCCGGTCCTACACGTCAAGTTCGCTAATCATGAGTCACCCCTGGTCCAACATGTCCACACCTGACAAGTTAGCTCTAGTGTAGTCATCCCTGGTCCTACACGTCCACACTTGACAAGTTAGCTCTAGTGTGTTCACCCCTGGTCCTACACGTCCACACCTGACACGTTAACTCTAGTGTAGTCACCCCCGGTCCTACATGTACACACTTGACAAGTTAGTTAGTGTAGTCACCCCCGGTCCTACATGTACACACTTGACAAGTTAGCTCTAGTGTAGTCACCCCTGGTTCTACGCGTCCACACTTGACAAGTTAGCACTAGTATAGTCAACCCTGGTCCTACATGTACACACTTGACAAGTTAGCTCTAGTGTGTTCACCCCTGGTTCTACGCGTCCACACTTGACAAGTTAGCACTAGTATAGTCACCCCTGGTCCTACACGTCAACACCTGACAAGTTAACTCTAGTGTAGTCACCCCTGGTCCTACACGTCCACACTTGACAATTTAGCTCTAGTGTAGTCACCCCTGGTCCTACACGTCCACACCTGACAAGTTAGTTCTAGTGTAGTCACCTCCGGTCCTACACGTCCACACCTGAAAAGTTAGCTCTAGTGTAGTCACCCCCGGTCCTACATCTACACACTTGATAAGTTAGCTCTAGTGTGTTCACCCCTGGTCCTACACATCCACACTTGACAAGTGAGTTAGCGTAGTCACCCCTGGTCCTACACGTCCACACCTGACAAGTTATTTAGTGTAGTCACCCCCGGTCCTAAATGTCCACACCTGACATGTTAGCTCTAGTGTAGTCATGCCTGGTCCTACACGTCCACACCTGACAAGTTAACTCTAGTGTGTTTACCCCTGGTCCTACACGTCCACACCTGACAATTTAGCTCTAGTGTAGTCAACCCCGGTCCTACATCTACACAATTGACAAGTTAGCTCTAGTGTAGTCACCCCTGGTTCTACCCGTCCACACTTGACAAGTTAGCACTAGCATAGTCACCCCTGGTCCTACACGTCCACACCTGACAAGTTAACTCTAGTGTAGTCACCCCTGGTCCTACACGTCCACACTTGACAATTTAGCTCTAGTGTAGTCACCCCTGGTCCTACACGTCCACACCTGACAAGTTAGTTCTAGTGTAGTCACCTCCAGTCCTACACGTCCACACCTGACAAGTTAGCTCTAGTGTAGTCACCCCTGGTCCTACATGTCCACACGTGACAAATTTACTCGTCCACACCTGACAAGTTAGCTCTACTTTAGTCACCCCCGGTCCTACACGTCCACACCTGAAAAGTTAGCTCTAGTGTAGTCACCCCCGGTCCTACATCTACACACTTGATAAGTTAGCTCTAGTGTGTTCACCCCTGGTCCTACACATCCACACTTGACAAGTGAGTTAGCGTAGTCACCCCTGGTCCTACACGTCCACACCTGACAAGTTCACTCTAGTGTAGCCACCCCTGGTCCTACACGTCCACACCTGACAAGTTAACTCTAGTGTAGTCACCCCTGGTCCTACACGTCCACACCTGACAAGTTAGCTCTAGCGAAGTCACCCCTGGTCCTACACGTCCATACTTGACAAGTTCACTCTAGTGTAGTCACCCCCTGTCCTACACGTCTACCATTGACAAGACACCAGTTGTTCTACACATGCCTGAAAACCAAGTCCCTACAGTTGTACTCCATACTTGGTTTTATTGCTGGTCATGATAAGCGGTCCACAGAGCTGGAAGAGTTATCTCTCTTTGTTTCATTTAATATGATTTAATATGATTTAATTTGATACATAATGAACGCAGGCATTAAGCCTCTGTGTTCATATCAATAAATAACATAATAATATATATACTTTCCCTCTATTTCAGGCTCCCCAGCAGATCGTTCAGATTTGGAAATCGGAGATGAAATTTTAGAAGTCAACGGTCAAAATCTTGATCACAGCACTCATGCCGATATAATATCGTTTATTCATTCGGTAAGTGAAAATATGATTTCAACTTACAACAGATTACGGAGAAACAGTGTGATAATAACAGATGATGTGGTAACAGTATGATAACAACAGATGACGTAGTAACAGTGTGATAATAACAGATAACATAGTTACAGTATGATAATAACAGATGACGTGGTAACACTGTGATAATAACAGATGACATAGTTACAGTATGATAATAACAGATGACGTGGTAACACTGTGATAATAACAGGTGACATAGTTACAGTATGATAATAACAGGTGACGTGGTAACAGTATGATAATAACAGGTGACGTGGTAACAGTATGATAATAACAGATGACGTGGTAACACTGTGATAATAACAGGTGATAATAACAGGTGACGTGGTAACAGTATGATAATAACAGGTGACGTGGTAACACTGTGATAATAACAGATGACATAGTTATAGTATGATAATAACAGATGACGTGGTAACAGTATGATAATAACAGTTGACGTGGTAACACTGTGGTAATAACAGATGACATAGTTACAGTATGATAATAACAGATGACGTGGTAACAGTATGATAATAACAGATGACGTGGTAACACTGTGATAATAACAGATGACATAGTTACAGTATGATAATAACAAATGACGAAGTAACAGTCTGAAAATAGATTACTAAATCGATAAATACAAATTGAATTCTTGGAGAAATGTGCATGTACCATGCTGTTGATCAGCGTATTGTACCAGAAAATCCTGTAGAAAAAAATGCATATCGGGTCCAAAGATGAAACGGTAATTCACGTAACGAGGTGCTGAAAATTAGATGAAGTATGGAAGATATGCTATTTCACAGAAGATTTGTGATCAAATCTGAAAAGTAAAAATACATACATTGTTTGTACGTTATAAAGTATTATCCAGTTCCAGTCAGCCTAGTAGAATGGGCAAGCATTTTATGCATTTAGTGTACGTCTATTACTCGCGTTTAAACAATGATATCCTATACACTGCGAAAGAAAATGTATTTGCTGTGATTTTATTTAATCGGGCTTCGTATCCGCTAGTTAGAGTTATTCCCCTTGGCACAGAGTTGCCATATATAGTCAAACGACGATCTGTAGAACACAATAAATAAATCAGTATTCTCTATCAAAATATGTAGCAATTTTGGTCAGAGGTCGTAAGAAAGAAGGTTTAAGTGGTCAACGATATTTAGAAAGATAATATTACGAGATAGGCAAGCATTGTTCCTCAAGGGAAAGTATTTTTCTTGCCTCTATGTGTATTTAGGAACATATCTGTCTTTCCTATATGTGTACATTTATTTAGGAACGTATCGTTCTAGTCTATATGTGTATTTAGGAACATATCTGTCTTGCCAACATGCGTATTTAGGAACGTATCTTTCCTTCCTAAATTTTTGTTTAGGTTTACATCTTTCCTAGCCTATTTGTGTATATAGGGACGTATCTTCTAACCTATTTGTGTATGTAGGAACGTATCTTCTAGTCTATGTGTGTATATAGGAACGTATCTTCTAGTCTTTGTGTGTATATAGGAACGTATCTTCAAGCCTATGTGTGTATATAGGAACGTATCTTCTAACCTATGTGTGTATATAGGGACGTATCTTCTAACCTATATGTGTATATAGGAACGTATCTTCTAGTCTATATGTGTATATAGGAACGTATCTTCTAGCCTATGTGTGTATATAGGAACGTATCTTCTAACCTATGTGTGTATATAGGAACGTATCTTCTAACCTATGTGTGTATATAGGAACGTATCTTCTAACCTATGTGTGTATATAGGAACGTATCTTCTAGCCTATATGTGTATATAGGGACGTATCTTCTAGCCTATGTGTGTATATAGGGACGTATCTTCTAGCCTATGTGTGTATATAGGGACGTATCTTCTAACCTATGTGTGTATATAGGAACGTATCTTCTAGTCTATATGTGTATATAGGAACGTATCTTCTAGTCTATATGTGTATATAGGGAAGTATCTTCTAACCTATATGTGTATATAGGGACGTATCTTCTAACCTATATGTGTATATAGGGACGTATCTCCTAACCTATATGTGTATATAGGGACGTATCTTCTAACCTATATGTGTATGTGTGTATATAGGAACGTATCTTCTAACCTATATGTGTATGTGTGTATATAGGAACGTATCTTCTAACCTATATGTGTATATAGGGACGTATCTTCTAACCTATATGTGTATATAGGGACGTATCTTCTAGCCTATGTGTGTATATAGGAACGTATCTTCTAACCTATATGTGTATATAGGGACGTATCTTCTAGTCTATATGTGTATTTGCGCTGTTTTTGTTTTGCTTTTATATTCAGCGGCATACTTTGCCAATGTTCAGTCTAAAGTCAATAATAATAATAAATAATAACAAAGAAGAAGTTTTAACTAGGGATATAGTTATTTGGAATACATCTTGCTTAATTAGGTTTGCACATGATACAAATATGGCTTCAGGGGCATATATTAAACAAATATCCGGATTTCCCAGTTTCTGCAGATCATTTTGTAATGTCAGTATTCTGTTTTCGGATTTAGATTGTCTCTTTCTCCCAAGCATGCCACATATACACGATGTTTTGTGATTTTAGCTATTGGACGAAACAGACACACTTTGTAGTAAAAACTTAGATTTTAAAAGAGAAGACAAGATGCAGGAGATGTCAACATATAAAGTTGTTATAGAAATTAATAAAATGTCTATGGTGTAAATGAGATTAACTCGAACACTGCTGCGGGAAAAGTGGAACCTTCAAAAAGAAAATTAAAAATAGTGTAAATAAAGAGTTAATCTATGAAAAATTGAAGTGTATGTATACAAGTATATATGGAAATAAGTGAAGTGAAACCGTAGAACTGTAGGTTTATATTTAACCGTTCTGAATTCTCTCAGGATAGATACAATATTTACTGAAAAACTTGCATCGTTTGAGGACTGGTCCTGTATATCTACTGTAACATGAGGGCAGATATAATAGAAATTGTATCGGACTTCAAAGAATACTTGTTTGTAGAAATCAAAATTAACAACAGAGACAAATCAATATAAAAATCAGAAAGTGGTTCACGAGAAAACAATAACATATTACGTACCATCTTGGATACAGACGCAGATCTAGTACACTAACACCTATATAATGATGGGATATTTTAGTTATCCAGGTAAGAATTGGAACAATTTTAATAGAAAATGTGAGAGTACCGACACAGAGGAACTTATATTCAATATAAGTACCTATTTCAACACGTGAGAAAACCAGTCAGATTGAGAGGGGCGGATACCCCACGTGCTACACTTTGTGTTTACTAATGAGGAAAACACGATGTCTAATACTGAACATCAAAGTCCTTTGGGGAAAAGTGAGCACTGCATAATAGCCATGGATTTTAACTGCAACACTTGGATGAATCAAGAACCGTTCGAGACAGGTAAGACGTCCAAAAGGACCAAATTAAACCGGACAACGACAACTGGGACATATTCCACTGAAATATACAGGAAATGGAAGAGAAACATATACTACTAAATACTATAAAAAACACACACAAGATATAAAACTAATGGCTTCCCTGTAGGTAGGAACGCCTTGGGACTTATCAAGAAAAAACATGCACAGGCAAAAAAGGGGGCAATTAGTAAGGAATCGGGTGAAAAAAAGGCCAAAAAAAATGAGAAAACATTTGAAAGGGATCTGTCATCAAAGCAAGGAAATATCCAAACGAAGTCTGGAAATACATCAAGTTCAAATCAAAAATAAAAAAGAATAAATGACCCTCTGTACAGGTAAATCTGACAAAAACACTCCGAAGACAGGTGACGATAAAGAGAAGGTAATGTGTCTTTACTAGAGAGAAGGATGGATATGTACCAGAGAGCGAACAGAAGGACGTACAGTTTATAACGACAGACTTGGAAATTAGTGAAAGGCAAGTGATTACGGGTCTTCAGGAACTAAAGGCAGATAAATCGTTCATTATCAACAATCTACGTCTTAGGTTACTCGAAGAGATTGCGGCTTCAACAGCACCACCACTTACGGTTATTTTCAACCAGTCCCTAGTCACCATGGTAAAGTGAACCGAGAATCATTTCACGATTATGGTGAAATGAACTCACTATGGTAAAGTGAAGCCGCTTTATACTTTTTTTTCTATCGGTGTTTCTTAAATAACAAGGATGGGGAAATATAAGGTGGGCAGAGGAGGTTCACTTCACCGTGGCCATGGTAAAGTGAAACATTACACTATTTTCGTACTAATTCATTTTTCACCATTTTTTTCCAATCGTCTAACTGGAAAAGATATCAGCCAATCAGGTCTCATTAAATATGGACAGAATTTGCAGATATTCAAACTTGAACAAGGGGTTAACGTAACAAGTTTACCAAGCAAGTCCCACCATTATTCATTCGTCCCTTCAAAAGATAACGCGTGGAAAGCATTCAGTTAGGGTGCCGAAAGATATCATCCAATCAGGTCACATAAAATATGCATATAATTTGCCGATAATCGAACCTGAACTTGGAAGTAAGGTAGTAAGTCTACAAAGCAAGTTTCCTAAAAATCTTATCATTCCCTCAAAGAAAAGCGTGTAGAACAATCGTCAGTATAGTGATTTAAGAAATCAGTCAAGGGATTAAGGTAACAAGTGTACCAACTAAGTTTCATCAAAATCCTACCAGTACTTCAAAAGATATCATGCGGAAAGCAGCATCCGAGAGTGAAAGAAGCCTCATTAAATATGTACGGAATTTCAGGTTAATCGAACTTGGCCAAAGGATTAAGGCAACAAGTGTACCAATCAGGTTTCATCAAAATCTCGTCTGTCCTTTTAAAGATATATGGAAAGCAGCATCCGTACGGACGGGCGGAACCCATTTGAATATCTCCGCAAACTTCCTTGGGTGGGGAATAATTATAAAGTTGCTTCACTTTACCATTAGTAGGAGGGGTGTATGTGAATAG